CTCTGTCTCTCTCTCTCTCTCTCTCTCCCTCTCTCTCTCACCCCCCCATACCATCCAGTCCTTGGATGTGTCTAGCGCTTCACATGTATCCGGAGTCACTTCCTGTCAGTGTGATTTGTAGTTCTCTGCCTCACCGTCTTGCTCTTTGCCTCCACAGTACGTGGTCTTTGCCCCGAACATTGAACAGATGCATGTGGTGGATCATGTGAAAGGACAACCCACCGAGGAGAAACGTAACGTCCTGACAGAGAGCGCCCGAATCGCGAGAGGAAACATCACCGACCTGAAAGATCTGAAAGTCAGCGAATATGACGCACTTGTCATACCAGGTACGGCAGCAGATCAATACATCCTCCAATGTGTGTATGAGGTGTATAGAAATGTGTCATACCAGGTACGGCAGCAGATCAATACATCCTCCAATGTGTGTGTATGAGGTGTATAGAAATGTGTCATACCAGGTACGGCAGCAGATCAATACATCCTCCAATGTGTGTGTATGAGGTGTATAGAAATGTGTCATACCAGGTACAGCAGCAGATCGCTATATCCTCCAATGTGTGTGTATGAGGTGTATAGAAATGTGTCATACCAGGTACGGCAGCAGATCGCTATATCCTGCAATGTCACTGGCCGTACCTGGTATGACCCCCTCCAGCACTGTGATCAGAGGTGTCACGGTTCTCTACTTCCTGTCCCCCCAGGTGGTTTCGGAGTGGCTAAGAACCTGTCTAGCTGGGCTGTGAAGGGGAAGGATTGCTCCGTTATAAAAGCCGTGGAGGAGACTATGAAAGCGTTCCACGCCAGCAGGAAGCCGATGGGATTGTGCTGCATCTCCCCCGTACTGGCCGCCAGACTCATCCCGGGATGTGAAGTGACAGTTGGCTGTGACACGGAGTGCGAGAAGTATGTTATCCAACGTCATGTGATTGTTATCTATGAGGTGACATAGACACGCCTGCCACCTATAGACACGCCTGCCACCTATAGACACGCCTGCCATCTATAGACACAAGACACGCCTGCCACCTATAGACACAAGACACGCCTGCCACCTATAGACACGCCTGCCACCTATAGACACAAGACACGCCTGCCACCTATAGACACAAGACACGCCTGCCACCTATAGACACAAGACACGCCTGCCACCTATAGACACGCCTGCCACCTATAGACACAAGACACGCCTGCCACCTATAGACACAAGACACGCCTGCCACCTATAGACACAAGACACGCCTGCCACCTAAAGACACGCCTGCCACCTATAGACACAAGACACGCCTGCCACCTATAGACACAAGACACGCCTGCCACCTATAGACACTCCTGCCACCTATAGACACAAGACACGCCTGCCACCTATAGACACAAGACACGCCTGCCACCTATAGACACGCCTGCCACCTATAGACACGCCTGCCACCTATAGACACAAGACACGCCTGCCACCTATAGACACAAGACACGCCTGCCACCTATAGACACGCCTGCCACCTATAGACACAAGACACGCCTGCCACCTATAGACACAAGACACGCCTGCCACCTCTAGACACGCCTGCCACCTATAGACACGCCTGCCACCTATAGACACAAGACACGCCTGCCACCTATAGACACAAGACACGCCTGCCACCTATAGACACGCCTGCCACCTATAGACACAAGACACGCCTGCCACCTATAGACACAAGACACGCCTGCCACCTATAGACACAAGACACGCCTGCCACCTAAAGACACGCCTGCCACCTATAGACACAAGACACGCCTGCCACCTATAGACACAAGACACGCCTGCCACCTATAGACACTCCTGCCACCTATAGACACAAGACACGCCTGCCACCTATAGACACAAGACACGCCTGCCACCTATAGACACGCCTGCCACCTATAGACACGCCTGCCACCTATAGACACAAGACACGCCTGCCACCTATAGACACAAGACACGCCTGCCACCTATAGACACGCCTGCCACCTATAGACACAAGACACGCCTGCCACCTATAGACACAAGACACGCCTGCCACCTATAGACACGCCTGCCACCTATAGACAAAAGACACGCCTGCCACCTATAGACACAAGACACGCCTGCCACCTATAGACACGCCTGCCACCTATAGACACAAGACACGCCTGCCACCTATAGACACAAGACACGCCTGCCACCTATAGACAAAAGACATGCCTGCCACCTATAGACAAAAGACATGCCTGCCACCTATAGACACAAGACACGCCTGCCACCTATAGACACTCCTGCCACCTATAGACACAAGACACGCCTGCCACCTATAGACACAAGACACGCCTGCCACCTATAGACACGCCTGCCACCTATAGACACGCCTGCCACCTATAGACACAAGACACGCCTGCCACCTATAGACACAAGACACGCCTGCCACCTATAGACACGCCTGCCACCTATAGACACAAGACACGCCTGCCACCTATAGACACAAGACACGCCTGCCACCTATAGACACAAGACACGCCTGCCACCTATAGACACAAGACACGCCTGCCACCTATAGACACAAGACACGCCTGCCACCTATAGACACAAGACACGCCTGCCACCTATAGACACAAGACACGCCTGCCACCTATAGACACAAGACACGCCTGCCACCTATAGACACAAGACACGCCTGCCACCTATAGACACAAGACACGCCTGCCACCTATAGACACAAGACACGCCTGCCACCTATAGACACAAGACACGCCTGCCACCTATAGACACAAGACACGCCTGCCACCTATAGACACAAGACACGCCTGCCACCTATAGACACAAGACACGCCTGCCACCTATAGACACAAGACACGCCTGCCACCTATAGACACAAGACACGCCTGCCACCTATAGACACGCCTGCCACCTATAGACACAAGACACGCCTGCCACCTATAGACACAAGACACGCCTGCCACCTATAGACACGCCTGCCACCTATAGACAAAAGACACGCCTGCCACCTATAGACACAAGACACGCCTGCCACCTATAGACACAAGACACGCCTGCCACCTATAGACACAAGACACGCCTGCCACCTATAGACACGCCTGCCACCTATAGACACAAGACACGCCTGCCACCTATAGACACAAGACACGCCTGCCACCTATAGACACGCCTGCCACCTATAGACACAAGACACGCCTGCCACCTATAGACACAAGACACACCTGCCACCTATAGACACAAGACACACCTGCCACCTATAGACACAAGACACTCCTGCCACCTATAGACACAAGACACACCTGCCACCTATAGACACAAGACACACCTGCCACCTATAGACACAAGACACGCCTGCCACCTATAGACACAATACACACCTGCCACCTATAGACACAAGACACACCTGCCACCTATAGATACACTGCCGCCTATAGACACGCTGCCACCTATAGACGCAAAACACGCCTGCCATCTATAGACACGCTGCCACCTATAGACACTCCTGCCACCTATAGACACAAGACACACCTGCCACCTATAGACACAAGACACGCCTGCCACCTATAGACACACCGCCACCTATAGAC